GTTGCTCAGCACCCCCAAGCAGAGCGTGGAAACATCCTCTGGTGCCCTCCCTTCAGATACTGRTAGACATTGAGGAGGTCCCCTCTCAGTTGTCTCTTTTCAAGGCTGAACAAGCCCAATTCTCTCAGTCTTTTCTCATAAGAGACATGCTCCATCTGACCATTCATCCTCGTTGCATTCCACTTGTCACTCCAGGAGTTTTGCCTCTTGTACTGAGGAACCAAGAACCAAACACATCACTTTAGATGTAGTCTGACCAGGGCTGAGTAGAGGGGCAGGATCACCTCCCTTGAGCTGCCGGCGATGCTCTTCCCAATGCACCCTAAGATTCCATTGACCTTCTTGGCCACAAGGATATGGTGGCTCAGGGGCAGCTTGTTGTCCACCAGGACCCCCAGGTCTTTCTCTGCAGAGCTGCTTTCCAGAAAGTCAGTGGTAATGGTAAGCTTTAACCCCAAAGAGTAGAACCTGATGTATGTCTGTATTTTTTGCCCCTTCCTTTGTTTCAGTGAAGAACTTGGAAACTGAAAAAAAAAAAAAAAAAAGCACCCAGTTATTATGGATCATTTTTGGTCATGAAATAGTCTATGGTGAGACTTTGCTTACTGCATTTTGGGGCAGAGGTGTCATGCCCACCTATAGTTTAGCATTTTAAATATTCTTTTGGGTCTCATCTGAATTTCCCATGAGCATTTCACCTGTGGTGGAACAGTTCCAGAACAATTGCACAGSGAAGTCAGAGTTATATAAATGGTCTCAAAACATTTATAAGTGTACCTTCACAAATATAGTAAAAATATGTTTCAAACTCCTGTAGACCCATGCTCCTAGATGGCTTTGCTTTGAGTCTTCTCACAAGACCACATTTGAATAGTTTATTCTTCCTTATGGTCCTGTGATGCTACCATTTCTTATGGTTTTATTGCTTCCATTTGATTACAGCAAAGTTTCAGTGATGCGACTGTTTTTCTTTGCATATTGGTGAACTTGTATAATTGCCCTCCAATTACAGTAACTAACAATTGGATCAAATATTATTGATTCAGGGTAAAGACACATAATTATATTGCATTCTTTGTACCTTGAACTCCAGCTTACCTTAGGACTGTTGCTGATCTTTGCAGTGAACATCTGTTCAGGTTCTGCTTTCATCTTTTATTTTCAGAATAAATGTGAAATTTTATCTGAGATAAGGGCTTTTTTTTGTGGAAAATAATCTTATTGTTGGGTAACATCAGGATCTTCTGTAAGAACCATGCACACTGAATTAAGCAGTTGCTTCATATGCAGCAGTTCATTTTCTGAACGCAGGTAGAGGGTATTGCATGAAATATTTCTCTTACACATTCCACCAGCATGGACACTTCAATAATGCTTTGACTTCTGTGTTATGTTTGRTTTTCATGCTTGTTCAGGTGCACTCAAGCTGTTGAAGAGAACAGACAAGCAGACACAGGACTAGGCAGAYTGTGGCCCATGGAGTTCACCCTGTGTTTCCTTAGAAAGCCATCTCAGGGCCTCAGATAGCTCAAAATATTCCTTCTGAGGAAATGCGCATTTTAGTCAAGCAATGTACTTAGTCTTAGTCAGACAACATTTTTCCCAGAGACTGTTATCTCTTGGTTTGTCTGTGTCAGAACAGGATGTATTCAGAGAGAACAATGGTAAGAGAAAGGTAGGTACAGACTTTGCTATCTGCAGACATCAGAAGGAAACTGACCTGCTTTCCAATATGTTTGTCCTGTAGCTCTTATCAACTGTAAAAGTGGCTGAGCAACACAACTGATCTTTTGGAGAATCAAAGTGTTTCAGCCAGTGAGCTTTACTCTTGGTGATTGTTTTAATCTTATACTTGTTCTTGAAATGTATGTGGCATGATCAATAATTTAAAGCTCAATAAGACTATTGCACTTTGGATTTGTGCTGGCTGTCGGGCACTGATCTGGTTGTGTAATTCCTGCTGTAACACAAGATATACAGGTGTATACCTATACAGGCACAGGTCCAAAATCAGCTCATTCTGTTCTCAGARAGTGGTGACAAGAGTGCAAGACCTGTATAGGCTAAAGAAAGGTTAGTTGCATTTACCTGGGTAGTGGGAGAAAATAGAGTCATGGAATGCTTTGGGTTGGAAGGGACTTTAATGATCATCTAATTCCAAAGACACCTTGCACTAAACCAGGTTGCTCAGAGCCACATCCAACCTGGCCTTGAACATTTCCAGGGACAGAACATCCACATATTCTTTTATATAAAATATATACTTTGGTCATTTTATAATAATCTGCTGCTTGTATATTCTCCACAGGTRAGATGCTAAGTGTCTCAGCTATTTCACTGTCTATTCACTTTTATATTTAACAATTCAAATACCAAAAGTAGGGAAGTAAAAAAAAAAAATTGAGCAAGGGTTGATTTGATCTGTTTGTTAGTTTTCTCTTTGCAACAACCTTTTCCCTTCCCTAGACAAGCCTGGAAATTAGGGTGCACTCTTTTTAGTGCACATAATAWTTTAAACTGAAACCTTTTTGTTTCATTGTGCATCATGATGACAAAAAGTAATGCTGCAGCTCACTTTTAAACAGCTAGTTTTTTTCAAATAAGAGAGTTGGGGTCATGCTCTAGACTGAGGCATTTGAATCAGACGGTTCATGCTTCAGGTCATGCATGGCTGCTGCTGTGTCTCAGACTGTCTCTTTCACCTCTTCCTTCAGTGTCTTGGATACACAGGTACCCTTCAAATATTCTGGTACCAAAATTTAACCAAGAGAAACTTCAGGGCATTCTCTCAGAGGTCAACATTAGAATGTGACAATTGTTGAACCGTGTCAATGTTGTGGCTTTGTTCGTGCTAGAAAGAAACAGCAGGCAGGGCTGATAATGCTATTTAGAATATTGTGTAGACCTATTTTAAAAGGTACCTACTATAAAATAATTGCAGCAGGTTYAATGTGGTTTTTTTTTAAAGATGTATTAACTGTTCTTGATCAAACTTGGAGCAACCTGAGGCTACTGTGACTTAAGCAGGAGCCAGGTCAGCTTGTGCTTGATGTTCCTTATTCTTTCTGCCCCTTGCACATGTGTAGAAACAGATCCAGAGACAGGCATCCAGCCAGGGATGCATCTGCTGGTAAAAGCGGAGGTGAAAATGAGGGAAGGAGMCCGGTTATCAAAAAAATCTGATTTTGCTGGTGCTGGCCCTGATGGCAGTGGTAGTTAATATGTGACTAACAGGAGAGCTAAGAGCCTTGTGGGAGAGAAGAAAGTAACATAATGGCTATGATCCTTCATAATGGGCATGGATATGTTATACATAGTTATGTATGACTAGTCCTTGCAAATATACTAATTTTCCAAAGCATAGATATGACTGCCTGTAGTAATTCCTCAAAGCCCTAACCTGGGCTATGTAGTAATCTTTTTATGGCAGAGGTTTCTCTCAGTTACTTTCTAATCTTRGTTCGGCCTTTTGGCCTTTTGCCCTTAAAAATTGTTATTTCATTACAGATCAAATATCAGTCAGTGTTAAGTCTTGACTGTATGAAAAAGGTAGGGCTGAAAATTCCCACCAGCACTCCCAAAGGTACAAGCTAGAGCATGTAACTGAAATAGTGGAAATAATTAACCAGAACAATCCACTCTAGGATCCAAGGTACACAGAATTGCACTCGTTGTTCTGTTGTCTTGGTATGAGATGCCATGCCTACTTTCCTCGCTCTGATGGTTCTCTAGGCTTGGAGATACAATTACTCTGATTCCTTGGCCTGAATCCTACTTCTAATGGAAGTAAGTGACTGACATAGTCTGATTTCAGATACCCTGTAGTGTAGCTGATATTGTGAAATTAAGCTGTCTTTTCTTCTACTCTGTACTCCTAGAAAAATAACTGGGAGCTACTTCTGACCACATTCTCACAGATGCTTTTTCTGAAGCACTTCCCAGAGACAGCTTCTGAGAGTTGTTAAAATCAAAYGGGCTGTGTGCACAAATGAGACTGCACATAAAAAATACAGAAATGGAATTAACAACTCTGGTTTACATGGAATCCTGCATACATRATGTGAAAAATATTATCCATGGTTTTGGCCAGTTGCTACAACATTTTATTCTTGCAATAGGTAAACTAATATAATTAACATACCATTTAGAGTGTAGCAATGTTCTGATTTTCACTGTCTTCCCCACTGATGTTCTTATAATACTTAAAAATCACCTGTTGAAGTAACTTTTAATAAAGCTTGTGAAAGTTTGATTTCTGCTATTTCACATGTGACTTCCTGGGGGGCAGGGGTTGTGTTTCGGTTGGGCTATATTAGCCTAAAAAGCAGCATAGTGAGCAAGCAACTGGTTGTTGTCAGTGCTTATATCCATAACCTTGCCTTCTGGGCAGCTCTCTGCTGCATCAGGAGGCTGGAGCATCCTCATCTATTGCTCCAGGAGGCTGGAGCATCCTCACAAACCCCTGCTTGTTGTAAAATGTTGTCAGTTGAATATCTGTGTACTACCAAAATAAATACTGCAGTTCTTCCTAGAGGTGTGTGCTGAAAAAAATAAAGAAACTTTGATAGCTTGAGATGTTCTGTAAGACACAAGACTATGCAAGGTTTAACCATAAAACATACAAGTGAAGAACTCACTGCTGCTATYTGATTCCACAGATCAATGCAAACAGATAAAAAGGATTAAACCAGCCATAGAAACAAGCAAACACCATGCTGCTGCTGGAGGCTGTTGCTTTTCCTGCTGGCTTTATGGGTTGTCAAAGATGAGTTTTACTGGCAAAATTAGATTATAGGCAAAAGGTTTATGATGACTTACCTATTCTTTCATCATATTTTCCTTATATTGCATCATTATTTTAGGTTTTGGATAAAAGACAAATCCGTAAGTATCCTGGGAAAGTACYGCTGTATATTTACTCTTTTCTAATACTAAGAGTACTGGGGTAGAAGGAGCCATAGACAAATACAACATAAAACTTACATAAGCCATTCTTAAAAAATCTACCCTTTTGTGTAACTTAACAGCTTTAAGGAGTCATATTTCTAGCCCTGCCACTGCATGCAATCAGAATGGTGATTAATTTGCTTGTAGCATACTTTACTTCTAACCTGCAGCCCCACTGTCAAACCTTCACATTCTTTGCCTTGGATTAATGGACATTGGTCATGGCGTGTTGATCCTTTCCATCACAAGCTGCTGATGCTCCSTAACTGCTCTGCAGTTTTCACTGCCAAAAGGTGTCTTCCTTCTGCACCGTGACTGCACATTACGGCTGTGTTTGATGCAGCATGTGAAGATACCTTCCAAGTGGGATGYCATCATGAAGTGCAGACAGCAGGTGACTTCAGTTAGTGATTCAATGAGGCACCTTCTGAAGACTCAGTTGTGAGCCCATCAGGTGTTTCTGTCAGTTGGTTCTTTTTAGAGCAAGGCAGTAAGCAGTGGTTAAATTGCTGTAGTTAAGAACATTTTGTAACACTGCCTTGGGAGACAGGTGCCAGCATTAGCTGTTATCGGTGCTTATGTTATTTCCTAATAGCTCATTTGAAATTCAGGTTTTGAAGAACCACAAAGACTGTACAATACAGGATATATATAACTCAGGTGGGAAAATGTTCTGGATATCTTAATATATTTGACTAATTCTGAAACCTAGTTTCAGAGGAAATTGCTTAAAATGAATTCTGAGTCAAATGGGGAAAAGGGGAACTTTTATTGACAGTACTTTCAGAATTAAAAAATTCTTGTGCAGTTCAGCCGCMAAATCATCATTCTGTATTTTCCTTGGTTCTGTTAATCTTTCAGATGGGGACAAGAAAGGGAAAACTTGATGGGCCCAGATCTCCTAAAATTTGGGGAATGTAAGCTTGATAAAATAGACCATTTCATATGGAAGGAACCTATAATCAGCATCTAATCCAGTTTCCTAAGCCAGTTCAGGGCTGACCAGGTTAAAGCCTGGTATTACAGGCATTGTCTAAATGCCTCTTAAACACTGTCAGGCTTGGGGCATCCCTTTCTTAGCAAAGAGAAGCTTCCTGATGTCCAGACCAAACCTTCCTYGGTGCAGCTTTGAACCATTTTCACATGTCCTGTCACTGGATATCAGGGAGAAGAGCTCAGCACCTCCCTCTCCACTGACCAGCTGGTGATGCTGTGTTTGATGCATCCCAAGATGCCAGGGCACACTGCTGTCTCACACTGAACCCGCGGCCAACCACATCCCTGTCTGCAGGGCTGCTTTCCAGCCACTCTCCCAATATATACTTTCATCCAATGTTATTCCATCCTAGATGCAGAATMTGGCATTTCAGCTTGGAAAATTGCATCCCATTAATTGTAGCCAAATGCTCCAATTTATGTAGAGCCCTCTCCAAGGCCTCTTGTCCCTCAAGAGTCAGCAACACCTCCCGGTTTGGTATCATCAGCAAACTTGCTAATGGTGCAATTCAACTSCTGCATCCAGATTGTTGATAAAATACACTGAACAGAACAGGCTCTGGAATTGAACCACAAGGAACACCAGTGTTATTCCTCAACTGGTGCCAGTTGCCAGCCTGATAGATGTAGCTCCATTCACTAAAATCCTTCAGCCTGTTCTGTCCTTCAGCCAGTCCTTCACCCAGAGCAGCCATGAACCTRCTTATCCCATAGTTGGGCAAATTGTCCAGAAGGATGCTCTGAGGGACAGTATCAAAAGCCTTACTAAAATCCAGAAAGAATGTGACCAGAAGGACAAGGGTGATTGTCCCCCTGTACTCAGTACTGGTGAGGATTTGAGGTACACACACCTCAAATCCTGTGTCCAGTTTTGGGCCCCTCATTGTCAGTATGTTTTGCATACACTGTTTGTTGACCAAAGATTTTTATTTCTATAAAAGTATCACTGAGTTATCTGATCTTCCTCATTTATTCTCACATTTACTATCTTTAAAAAAAAAAAGTGAAAAATCAAGTAAAGTAACATTTTTCATCTTTGGTTACATAGAACTACTACTAGTGCATGCTCAGATACCTTGGAGTGGCTGGATGGCGGACACTTCCATAATTGTTCGTTAATTTTTAAAGCAGAAAGTGAAGGAAATGAGATTTTTAGTGAAGGACCTTAACTTACTGCACTACTGGAAAGAACAAGTTTGTGCAAACCAAACAAGCAATGGTATTGGCATGGTCTTTGTCTGTCCTCTCAATGAAATAATCTTAAGAGGGCTTGCACTAACTGTGTAAGATATTGCTGGTATTAAATTTGGGTGAAAAGTRCATGGTCAAACATCCTCACTCATCATAAAGGGACTGAATTAACATGATTAAATCTTTTTAGTGTCTCATTTTTGCAGTTGTTAATGTTTTGAAGTATTTATTAGGAAAAGGAAATGCAGTTCTATCTTCATGGAAAAAGTAGTGTTTTTCTTTGCCCTGGTTTAACCAAGCCCTGAAGCACAGACTCGAATCCTTTGGGAATTACTTAAGGGCTCAGAGCAGTAAATCCCATTACTGAGGATTTAGGGGTAGATTAGATAACCACAAGAAGTCACAGTTGCTTCATAGATATAAGAGAAGAAGTCATATCTGAAAAAACTCCTCTMTTTAGAGGAAAGCTGGCAAAAATTAAGGTTGTTCCTAGTTTATGGAAAAAAAAATGAGCTTGACATGGATTTTCAATGTGAAATGCATGCAAAAGTAGGCATGACACAAGGGAACAGTCTCTTAAAGGGAAGAGAGTACAAATTCTGCTTTTTATTGGGCTATTTGTGGAATTTTTAAAGTGGTTCTCAGCTTGCTGAAGACAATCCTTTTGTAAATCCATTTATTCCATAAGGTTAGACAAGGAATTAATTTGATACTGCATATTTCACATGGTATTTTGAAGATCTATTTGATATCTCATCTGGTTATCATACTTCCTGCATTCTAAAACATTTGCCTTCTGAAGCAACTGCTTTAAAAATCTAGTATGGGTAGTAAAAGTAGCCATTTTCACTGTCATTTCACTGTTAATAATTTCCTATTGTTTCTATATCTTGTGAGTAGATCACGCTAATCCTACCTTATTTGAAATCTGCTTGCAATACATATTGAACTCCAGATGTGGAGCGTGATTTAGTTAAATCTTGTTGGTTACTTCAGTTTTCTTCTCCCAGTAAGTAAACAAAGTTATCTTTAAGGGAGTCCTTTGCAATTTGATGAGTTCAGGTAAATCTATTCTACAATTAAAAGGAAAAACCACAAACCCTTTGTTTATGCAATCATAGGTTTTCTTGCTCAGTCTGTATTAATTCCTTGAATATAAAAGGCTTAATCCAGATCTAACTCTCAGAATGAAATAATAGTCAAAGTATTTACACACACACCCACCCCCATTTATTGTAGTGGGCATTTATTGTAGTTTTTTCCTGGTTATTTAGAAGTTTATCCACCACTAAAATCTATGTTACGCCTTCATGTACTTCATGGAGTAACAGTTGAAAGTTACCTGGAAAATRCTTTGACTGAACTATTTTACTTTTTACACTGATCACAGTTACAATTGACACTTGTCCTCCACCTTGGGCCCCTGGTGAGCAGCAGTCTGGTGCAATGAGCTTGACTTCACTGGTTGGAGCCAGTCTCGAACAACAGCAGCACTAGAATTCCTGYACTGGATGACTGTGTTCTCCAGATGTGATCTGGTGCAGTTGCAACACTACTTCAGCAGAAGTAATGGATCTCCTTGGATTCCAAAGTCCATTCCCATGCCAGGGAAAATTTTGGAAACCTGAAATATGGTATCTACTAGCCTCTCTCCATGCTGGAGAACTGGAAGAGAGACCTCTGTTGTTGAAGCAGGACTGCAGCAAAACCAAACAGGGCCATAAATGTATCTCACACTACTTTAGCTGCTAAATGGGAAAGGGGATTGAGCAAGAACCATCTGTGGTACATCAAGCCTTTACTTGAAAGCTGTGGGAGTGAAAATCACTAGGCAAGAGAGTCTCCAAGTTACCATGGCATCTTTGATTTACAGGCACTTGCAGGATATGACCAAATCTGGAAACCAACTAACTTCCATAACTCCAGGTAACGAAGCCTCTCCTGGGCCCTTGTCTGTGCATTTTTTTTTTAGTTTTTGGATTGTGCTGAATGAGCAGAATCACCAGGTCTTCAGGCTTTTGACAAAGGGAACATTTCTTATGCAGACGTGCCTCTGGGCTATGGAGCTGCTTGAGTACATCCTGCCTGACTGGAGTAGTGAACAGAGTTGTGCTTCCCTGGCCTGCTGTTGTTTCCTCTGGTCTCACGGAATGACATCACATGGAAGAATGCTTTTTTTTTTCCTTCTCCCATTCTGCCAAACTTATGACACTCCCTCGTAAACTATAGTTGCAAAACAAGTACACAGATACAGTTTCAAGCGTGAGACTTCATTAAACATGAAGTACTGATGCCAGACTACAGAGCCACACCCCTTCCCATCTCTAGCTGTCACATGTTGAATCTTTGCTCCTGGATCAGCATTTACAACATTGAACTTCAGCTTGGACTCACATGGAACCATCCACCTAATCTTTCTTGGCTTATTGCCACATCTAATTCATAATGCCAGTGGCTTTTGTGTATAATAAGGTATTGGAATATACTTGGTGGAAAAGATGATTTAGCTTTCTAGTCGGAGGTTGCCTGTGAATTGAATAATGCTGTGTAACAACCAGTAATRTTGACGAATGACTACTGAGGCAGTTACCTACTCTCTCATTCTCTTGTCTAGTCGGGGTATTCAACCTCTGGAAGAAGATTAGGACCATGCTGTATTTTTTCTCCTCCTGGAAATAGCAGTAAGGAAAAGAGAATATACATTATCATGGAGTAAAAGCCAATCTTGTTCACTTGGCCTTATGGATCACTTCATCCACTGAGAGCTGAGAAAAGAGAAGTGTGAGTAAGGCTGATGAATGTAATTGTCAATTGTCACCACTCTTTCTTGGGCTCTGTATGGCCAATCTCTGCAGTCAATTTTCCACACACTTTTTTTTTTTTCTCAGTGATAAGTTTTTGTATCCTCTAATAGGCCTCTGTTAGTGGCAAAATAACAGAATCACTTTCTGACTAAATGCACAGCTCCTACTAGAGTCAGATCACCCTCGAGGTCTTCAACATATTCAGGAGTGCTTGATTTCAGACTYATGCATAACTGCATGGACCTGTGTCTGATTTACTAGCAACCGTAAAGTATTGCCAGTGGCTCACAGAAGCCAAAAGTGATCATGTAACATTCTTGTTGATGTTGCAGAAAAGAATGAAGAATAAAATAGAGGAAAAAAAATAATAAAAAGGAAGGAAATAAAAAGAAAGGCTTGTGATTGAATCTGATGTTTTTGGAAATGTATGTTGAAMCTTTATGTGGTTCCCTGTGTCTTCACATGCAAATGGCAGCTGAGTCTTCTGAATGATAGATGCTCACTCCTAAGCAACTGACTTTCTACCCACAGATGCAAAACAGTGACCTCTGATCTTCAATGCTTCCTTATTGAAACCCTCCACTTCCCTCTTCCTTGACTTTCAGAAACTGATTATCTTCCTTACTGCTGAGGGGAAGAAACCAACACAAACTTCCCACCCTGAAAGTCTTGGCAGTTTGCTGCATTTTCAGCATAATTGTCTGCCCACAGTAATTTTCTTCTTGTGGATGCGGACACCTAGGAAAATGTGGTTTTGTGTCACTAGAAAAGAGCTAGTAAAGGAGCTACATGTGCTACATTTCTAACACTCCTTTTAGATTCATATTGGTGATTGTTGGGTACTAGGAAATGCAGATGTGTTCTCAGGTTTAGGACTTAAATTCAAAGAAGCAAATGCAGCCTGAGAACCCATCAGTCTAGAGAAGGGAATGTTTTCCTGGACATGCATACTCCTCTTGTTTAAGAGGTGACAGTTCACATGCAGAGCTCTGTTAGCACAGGGGAGTTGMACACCCATGTGCAGCACAGTTGATATCTCCAGTGCACTCATGGTAAAGCTGCAGTAGATAAGGTGCTGCTCTGTATATGATAGCAGAAGGATTGTTGTGTTCCATTGGCTAATTACAAAGGGTGCTCTTCCTTGGTTCTAACGAAAGTATAGAACATGTTTTCATGTGTATTGATTTGATTTCTTTTCTGTTTCTTTTTCCTTATTAGCCCACTTCCATGGAGCTGCCAGAAGAGCTGTGTCAGCTGGCAGACATCCAGAAGCTGAGAAGGGAGAAAGCAATAAAAGACTAAAGAATGAATGAGGATAGTCTTTTGATCAAACCAGCCATGGCATTTAACAGAGAAACAATGCACAGAAGGATGGAAACTACAGAGATTATGGGGATTGCTTTCCCACAAACAAAAAAGCAGGATCTCAAATCACATCCTTCAACAATCAAGGATGTACTTTGTCAAAGCAGAGCTTGAAAATCAAAYTGACATGGTAAAATCTGTGGAAGGACCTTAAACTGAACTCAGGTGGACTGTATGAATTTAATTTCTGACACAGGCAACTTGAACTTAGATAGAGTGTTTGGAGACATCAAGGTGAAAAAAGGGGCTATATCTCTTGCACAGGTGTCAAACAAAAGCTCCTGACTTCATCATATTGGGTAATTCAACATCCCATTGCTGAATGGAAATAATGATGGTCTCACTTTCAGAGGAAATTCCTGCTGTATCCGTTCTTTTCTAGGTCTATTTTTGAGATCCATTTTTTTTCCAAGAGCTATTTTTGATTTTAAAGAGTGACTTCTATTTTTCTTGTATTGTTATTAGACCACTTTCTTAAATTGTTTCTTCTCTTACCTGCTGCAGCTATGTAAAATTCTCATTAGAGCAGCTTCCTACTGAAATTTGCAGACTACCAGCACCATTGTTTGCTAGCACTGCTGCATCCAACTCGTGTGGATAAGGCCGTTAACACCATTGTTCTGTGTGTCTATTGACAAGTGTGTGTAAATAGCAGTCCCACCCCAAGCAAAATAAGGTAGTAAGGTGAAACTACTATTCTACCACAGGTCAAAATGAATGTAGGCCATGCCTGAGTCCTGGAACATGCTTTCTGACATATCAGTGAACACTGATGAACATGGAATAGGGAAGAATGGAAAAGGTCAGTGGTCACTGAGCCAACCAGACTGCAGTCTGAGAACAATCKGGGCATTAGGCTGCAAATGTGGGAATGATACCAGGTTGGAAGGGAAGTGATGTCTGCATGTGAGTACATGCCAATACCTGTTCAAGTTTTCTTTGGATGTAAATTGGTGTGACTCTGCTTATGATGTACCTGCRCATTTAGAAAAATATTTTTAGGGGAAACATTGGCTTCTTGGTGTGTGGGGTTTTTTTCCCTCTCCCACAACGTACTAGACCAGCAGTATTTAAATAGGTCTTTATTTGAAACTAGAGGCAAGACTTGCTCACTTCTCAGAGACAGAAAAGCTGCCAAGGTTTTCTCCTTGTCATTTAACTGAAGCAGGACTTTTGCAAGCAGTGATAGGTTATCACAGATCAGTGGGGTAAAATGAGGAACATGCAGGCTGTTCCGTCTGACAGATCAAGAGCACTTAGGTTATATATCCACAACAAAAATCATCTGGGTCCCTCCAGTCCAATATCACAGAGAAAATGGTGATACATCAGGTAATGGCAGGAGGGAGGGAAGAGGAGCTGGGATATGAAGGCATCAAGTCTGCGACATAGAAGAGCAGTATGGAATGTCTCTGCAGGATACAAAGTAATTGTTGAGGCCACCCTTCTTAGTAAGAGACTGAGCTGCTTTGTCAGCCTCTTCCAAGGACTAAATCTCTGACTGGAACAGCATTATCATGGAATAAGGATTTCCAGAGAGGGACTTTGCAGGCTAATTGCATCTGTGCCAGTATAATGATTCAAGCAACAAAACTTTCTTGGGTAAATATGGGTGCAGCTTTTCCTTTGGTTCTCTTTTGAGAATGGGATAAAGAAAAGAAATACATTGGAATGGAGTCATCACTCATTGATGCACAAAACTAAAAATTACTATTTTCTTAAGGACTTTTTTTTAATGGTCCATCAGCCAAAATGACGCTGCTCTGTTTGTCTAAGTGTGATCCTAACATGTAACCAAGTCACGCCTGCTTCCTAAATAATGCAATTCTCGGTTGTAGCTAGGGACACAATTAGCATCACTGGTCAAGGACAACTCTAATGAAGTTTCACTGGGACAGTAACAATGGTCTTATTTTTATTTCCAAGTAACTGTGAGGTGGTTTAAGCCCAGCTGGCAAGTATGCACCAAGTGGAACGAGGCAAGAGAATCGAAAGTAAAACGTGTAAGTTAGGAAAAGAACAGTTTACTAATTGAAAACAAAGKAAAATATAGTAATAAATAACAAGAAYGAAAATCAAAAGGGAAACAAACAAGCARTGTACAATACAATTGCTCACCCCATGCTGACCAATGCCAGATCCCTTTCMTGAATCCAGATCAGCCTCGCTTCCAGGTAAATCCCCTCAGTTATACTGGGCATRATGTTCCATGGTATGGAATATCCTTTTGGTCAGTTCAGGTCAGCTGTCCTGGCTGTGCACCCTCCCAGTTTTTTTTCTTCCTCAATGGCAGAGGATAAGACGTAACAAAAAAGTCCTTGACTTAGAATAAACACAGCTTAGCAAAACTCAAAACATCAGTTTTTCATTATGAATGCAAAACTCAGCACTGTCCCAGCTACTGAGAAATTAACTCCATCCCAGCCCAAACCAGGACACTGGTACCTACGCAGCACTGGAGTGACACAGCTGCAGAAGTACAGATTTCTATCGCTATGCAACAAGCGATCTGGATTAATCAACCATTTAAGGATTTCCTGTAAGTGTACTCCTGTTAATGGGTTTTGTGAGGCGGTGCTGAAGTGCTGATGGCCGCACCGTGTTTACACTACAAAAGCATCTTGGCAGTTGACCTTCAGGTCTATTTCGTCTCGAGCTCCTCTGATGCAGCTCTCAGTGCATGACAAAGCGAAAAGCGGTAGAACRCACCCAGCCTCACCAAATACCCCCACGTGTTAACCCTGCCAGCACCCCGCTTCCATAGCCGCCAGCCCCTCACCGCTCCCGTCAGCTGCGGGGAGCTGTCCGGGGGCCGCCGGGCCGCCACAAGCTGCGTAGTACGAAAGGGGGGCCTCCGGGACACCCACACACTCACGGCACCGGCTCCCCGCCCGCCCCGGGCCTGGGGGTGACAGCGGGAGGATCCCGGGACCCCAAAGGCGCTGGGMCCGCCCCGCGCCCCCCGCGGCGCCTCAAGGGCGAGCGAGCGTCACTTCCGCCACGCACCCGCCTCCCCGCGCCAGCATCGCGAGACCCCGCCCCGCCTCGCGCGAGACTCGCTGCCTCACCCGGCCGCATCGGCCGAGTCCCTTCGGCAATTTCCGTCACCGCCAGACCCTACCAATCGGTGGCAGGAGCGCATCGATGAGCAGGGGTCCCCCGCGGGGTCCCTGCGAGGCCGAGCCCCGCGGTGCGGGCACGGGGTCCGTGCGGCGGCCCCGACGGCGCGGGCGGGGTGGCGAGAACCAGCCGCGGGGCCGGGGCGGCGGGGAGGCATGCGGGGTTCGATTGATCAGGCCTGGGCATGGCGCCTCTCCTCCCCCCCGCCATGGCTCCCCGTGTCCCTGCTCCTCTCCTCTCAGTGAGCGAAAGTGGCCGCCGCCGCCGTCCCAGCGCCCGCAGCCGCCGCCTCCTCCTCAGCACCAGCGCGGGCGCCATCTTGGCGAGGCAGGAGCCGGGAGCGCCCCGCGGCAGGAGACAGGCAACGCCAGCCCCGGCAACGCGGGGCGAGAGGCCGGGTGGAGCAAGCGGGGGAGCGAGCCCGGGAGACACCCCCAGCCCCCCGCCGCCGCCGCCACCGCGTCGCCGCCGGGCCCGCTACCCAGGTGAGCCACCGCGGCCACTGCGCAAGGGCACGCCGGGCCGGGGCTACTGGAGGGGGCAGTGGGGGCGCCGGCCGGGCAGGCCGCGGTTTCACCCCCCGCGCCGACCGGCGGCCGCAGCAGCCGGGCCTCTTCTTAAAGAGACAGGCCCCTTCCCCGCCCTGCCCGCCGGATGCACCCCGCGGTACCGGCGGCCGTGGAGCCGCCGTTTTCCCCCCCAGTCCCGGTCCAAAGCGGCCGGCGGGCCCCGCCACGCGCGGGGGGGCCCTGTGCGGGGGGGTCGGCGGGGGGGCTGGGGCG